TTAAAAGAAGAAATAAATAAGAATTAAAAAGAGGTTTTCTGGTCACAATATCTGCTGCTGTCTAAATGATTCTTCAATAGAGGAAGAGTTGGTTGGAGACATTTGTACAGCTTCCCAAAACATCATCTATACAAGCCCATCTCCCTGTCGTGGCCGTGATTCAGAACTCTGACCGAGTTTCCCTCCCTGAAATCTACATATGAGATCACAGCACAGTCCCCAACACACAGACACCAACACCTCACGTGACTAAGAAAAGCTCCCGCGCATGCCGCCCAGACCAAGAGACAGTTTAAGGGCAGCACTGCTTCCCTCAGACCTCAGACCTCAGCCCATGCGTTCAGCGGCCCAGTCAGGGGTCAGAGTCCCACAGCGTGTGAGCTCACAGCCCCCACGGGGACGAGGACAGGTGTCCACCCTACCTGTATATGTCAATGAGCTCAGACAGGTTGACGGATCTCCGCTTCTCCCACTCTGGCTCTTCTATCTGCAGAGAAGGTGGTGAGCTGTCTCGATTTTGGGCCTGAACAAAAATGTCCCGCAGGGCGACAGCTTGTATATTTCCTAGCACCAGAGAAAGAACCAACACTGAGAAGTTGAATTTAATAGTACATCCTAGGGTAGGGGTTTCAACAGGAGATAGTCCAGTCAGATGGATCTAACAGAACCTGTTCAGGCTGGTCCCACATGAAGTGGAGGGAGGATGTGGGTAAGTATGTGCTGTACTGAATCTTCTCTCTAGAGAAGCAACAGGGGAAAGTGGAGTTAACCACCTACAACAGGGAGGGGAGAGACAGACGCCTGCAAAGCAGGCAATGGGAGGGCTGACCATGGCTACCCCTGAGTTTCCACCCCACCTTATAAGGCAAGCCTCAAGACAAACCTGTGGGGAACACCAGTGAAAACCAGCCTTGCTCCTTACCAAAGCCAAACAGGATGTAGACAGCCCCACTGGCCGTGATGTACACCTCAGGACCAATCAGATTCCCCACGCCCACGATGCTGTACTTCACAGGTCGGCCCACTGGGCTCCCTGTCTGGCCAGACACCAGCAGAAAGTACACATCTGGCTGAAGAAATGAAAGAAGGGGTCAAGTCAGTCAAAGCCTTCCATTCCTGCTCAACCAGCTTCTCCACAGTCACAGCCTCCTTGTCAGCAAAGGGCTCAGAAGTACTTTCCTCACTTAAGAAGCACAAAGCCAACCCTGCCTCTCTCATTTCTCTGGAAGAAAGGAGGCAAACACTCCACATGTACAAAAGCAATCCTCAGGGTACCGCAGATAACTTCTCTGAGCACAGTTGTTGCTAGGTACATACTCTGCTGAGGAACAAGGTTCTAGCCTCAAGCTAAATACAGTATGGCTGACCCAGGTCCCCACTCACATTCCCAGAAACTCGCAGGAGTGTTTGTCCCCATTAGAATCAATGCAGACAGAGCTTCCTGTCATCCCATCACATGGCTGGCCAGGCCACTGTCAACTTATTCTCAGAGACCAGCAAACCTTTCCCATGAAGACACAGGCAGTAAATGTTTGAGTCTTGCCAGCAAAATGGTCTCTATGGCAACTGTTCTAGTCGGCTAGGACAGCGTGAGAGCAGTCATGGACAACACTGAGATGAATGGCTGTGACTGTACTACAATAAAACTTTACTTATAAAAATAAGCAATAGGCCAAAGCTGGTCACAGTTTATTAACCCCAGCTCTAAAGGCTATTTCACTGGAGGATAGATACAGTCACCAGTTGGAAAATACAAGAATTATACTGATTTTCTGGACAAAATTTATCATCATAATTGTTAGGGACCAAATAAAGAAATACGGGTTGCAGGGTAGCCAGAAAAAGGTATTTACAAGGTCAAAACTAACCTAGAGAGAGGTGTTGGATGGAATGTGCTGGAAGGACACGCCACTCTACTATCTGCCTATTCCTATTAAAATTCTTATCAAGGATCTGAACAAATAGAATTCAAGTTTATCACAAAGCTTGGTTTACTATGATGTATGATAAACTTGAAATTCAGTGACACCTTAGGCTGGAAGATGAATAAAAATCTATTTGAAAAATGGCATATAGTCGGTTCCATCCGGTTCTCCCACCGCCCCGGCCGTGGGGTCCAGCAGCTCTGGCGGCGGGAGGAACGGCAGCGGTCGAGGTGCGTATCTCTGCGAGGCTCCCGTGCGCCTCGACCCGCAGCCTCCGCACGCGCCCGGCGCGCCGCCAAGATGCCCAAGAGGAAGGTCAGCTGGGCCGAAGGGGTGGCGAAGGAGGAGCCCAAGAGGAGATCGGCGAGATTGTCGGCTAAACCTGTTCCAGCTAAAGTGGAAACGAAGCCAAAAAAGGCAGCCGGAAAGGATCAATCTTCGGACAAAAAAGTGCAAGCAAAAGGGAAAAGGGGAGCCAAGGGAAAACAGGCTGAAGTGGCTAATCAAGAAACCAAGGAAGATTTACCTGCGGAAAATGGAGAAACTAAAAATGAGGAGAGTACAGCTTCTGATGAAGCAGAAGAAAAAGAAGCCAAGTCTGATTAATCACACACCATATCTTATCAGTGCTCCCTGTCTCCCTTCTTGTACAATCCAGAGGAATGAATATTTTTATCAACTATTTTGTAAATGCAAGTTTTTTAGTAGCTCTAGAAACATTTTTAAAAAGGAGGGAATCCCACCTCATCGCATTTTTTAAGTGTAAATGATTTTTTTTAGGGTAAAATCATTCTCTGGTTGTTTATTTTTTGGTACAACCAGAAATAGTGGGATATTGAATTATGGCAGGTTTTGACTGTCTTGGGTGTCAGCTTAACATGCCATAGGTGGAGGTTAGTTTTATATCCTGCAATACAAAGCATACTAAATGGCAATTTGGAATTACAGTCCTGCATTTAATAATGTCTTGGATACTTTAAATGACTTCTATTCTCATTTTTGGTAGAATTGTTTCCTAAAGAAAACTACATCCTAATTGTTGCCCTGTCAGAATCGTGTGCACTCTGTAACATCTTTGGTAGTGGTAGTCCGGTTTGCCTCATTTTGTTAATGTGCTGTGAAAGATCAAAAATTTGATTATGTAGTGTATGTGATACAAAATTGTGAATTGGTGAGACTTAAGTAACACATTGTCAGCATTTGAAGATACTGGTACTTAATCCTCTTACAGAAAATTTGCCTCTAAATTTGAAGCTGGAAAGTCACTGGAACAACTGAAAAACAATATATGGCTTTTTTTGGTATGTGTGTTAAGAATTGTGTACAAAGTAAATCATGTGTACTGATCCTCAACACAACCAATAAAATCTCAAATATTGAAGATGAAAAAAAAATGGCATATAGAGGACAGAGGATGGGGTAGGAGATATCTATCGAAACAAATATAAATTTTATGAATGGCTATATGTCAAACATAACAATTTTTGTTAAAGTTGCTATATTAATTAATTACAAGATGTGGGTGGTTTCACTGATCATAAAACAAAAATCTTAGAAAGGCTATTACAATCTTTGCTTGCTAAATAGAAACAGAGTCTGAGAAAACAAGTACTACTATCCTTAAGCTGATATAATTGATGGTGTTATGAATAAATTGCTGTTTGCAAATAGAAGCACTGCATGTTTAAATGTTGGATAAATTACAATGCAAAGTGCAATAAATCACCAGAAAGGGGGTTTTGACTTCCTGCTGATGGAAAAATAGTGCAAGAAAATGTCACCGGTTTAGAGGGACCAGGCCAGTGGCCCATGGGCTTTCCTATGGTTGGGGATTAGACTCATTCAAAGAGGTTCTACAGCACTGACACTGGAATGCTGTGTGGACGCTATTTGAAAATTCGTTTCCCATTACTAGGACAGAAGCTTCCAGAGCTGACCAGAAAAGAAATAGAAATAGCTGCCTACAGATGAAATAGCAGCCCACATGTGCAAGGAGGACCCAGCGCCGGCAGGCCTGTAATCCACTCAGATCACAGCAGTGTGAGCACAGTGATCGCTGGCTTCCAAGGTCCCTTCCCTAGCATTCTCAGCCACACCGACTCCACTAGGGCCGAGCCTGGCCCAGCTCTCTCCAGCTGTGCTCTTGAGAATCAGTGACTCTATGTCGAAGGCCTAAGGTGCTTCCTTCCTTGCAGAGACCACCTTCCATAAGAGTAGCTTACACACTTCCTCGGGGTCTCTGTTGCTGATAAAAAGGGCAAAGAGGTCAGAAAACAAGGAAGCTGCTGCTCCAAACCCATCATTCTCTCTCCAAGACGCGCCTGTCGCTGCTCAGGTAGAATGGAGAGTACTCCACAGCGATGCGCCACTGCGCTAATGAGCGAGCTCTGCGAAGCAAGCTGGGCAGGACATCCCCAGCGTCAGAGCTGATGAGAAGCTGATTCTTCCAGTGGAGACCCCTTCCTGTGGGGGAGACCCTAAAGGCCTGAGCCCTAAGCCCTCAACCACAAGTGGTAATAAGGAGGAGATGGAGTATTAATATCAAGACTTTAAACTTGTTCAGGATATTAAAAACATATTCAATGCTTTCCTCAGTCAGTACTGACTGGAATTCCATCAGAAAAAAAATTCCCCAGCCTTTCCTCTTTGGGACTTTCAGAAAAATCTCTCCCTGCTTGAGGTAATATTTGAAATTTTCCCTGGACCCAACCCTTTACTCACAATGGCTAGGATATTAAAAACCAGAAAGTTACATAAATAATTCCTAAATTCTTAATTCTGGTCCAATTCCAGACAAAACACCTTGTTGAAGAAAATTAACAGAAAGTATCCATGGGGTCTTTTGTTGTAAAATGAAAATCAGCTACCAAATAAAGCGAAATTTTCAGTGTCCACATGTTCCCACATTTCTATATCCACATTGTTCATTTTGCCATTTGTTGAATGTTTTAGTCCATAAGCATTTCCTTGGAAGATTAGGCAGTTTGAGAAAACTGTCTTAAAAAATCTTTGACAGAAGCTCTAAAAATACTGGTCACGGTAGTACAGGCCTGTAATCCCAGTGCTTGGGAGGCTGAGGCAACAGGATTTCTATGAGTTCTTGGACAGCCTGGGCTAAGTAGTGAATTCAAGACCAGCCTGAACTATACAACCAAAAAACAAAAAAGAAGAAGAAAAAGAAATATCTAAAAAGTGCTTCAGGACCAAAAACTTAAAATTGAGAAGATTTTGTTCACTAATTTAGTCTTTCCTGCAATTTGGAGCAAATATTATTCTCTATATATATTTTATCTGTATAGAGAATGACTAGGTCCATAATTAAAAGGATAGTTTTTTCTTTCTCTTTGCGGTACTGGGGCTTGAACCCAGGGCCTTCATTCTGAGCTATAGCCTAGCCATCCTCCCCCAGTTTTAGAGACAGGGTCTCACCAAGTCACTAAGTTGCCCAGATTGGATCAACTTTCAGTCCTCCTGCCCCAGCCTCCCAGCACGCTATTAACCCAGGCAGCAAACAGGACAGTGCTTTAAGGGGCAGCATACCAGAGTCAGTCTGTCTTCTCACGGGATAGACTTTCACTCCATTTTCTTTGGATATTAATGTTATTGTTTGACTTAAATTTTTTTTCTGTACATATTTTTATGAACTTTTTACCAGGCAGTCCTATTGTGTTATAGTTGAAGTAAAATTTAAATATATCTAATATAGTAGAACAATACATTTAAAAAGACAAAAAGTAGGCTCTACTCTAAGAGCCAGAAATGTGTTCAACTCTAACCTTCACAGGAAACCTACAACCAGATGATACAGTCCGATTTTTTGCACATGAAGAAACCAGAGCGCAGGTAGGTTCCACAGCCCACCCAAGACCATAGAGCTGCAAAGGGTAGCAGGCACAGCCACAGCCGCATCCAGAGCTCACCGTACCACAGTGCATGGAGGCACGATGAGACTGCGGGGAAAATGGGTTCACAATGCTCATCTATTTACTGAACCTCAAGTGAATTTATTTAAACATGGTCTTTTGTAAAAAAAGAAAAAAAAAAGAAAAAAGAAAAAAAGTTTCAAACATTTATAACATTAGGAACTGTGGTAACTAAAAATTAAGTATTCTCTGTAAGAGACAAAAAACAATTCAGAGACCATACCTGTGTTTCCCCAGTGGCCAGAACTGCCAGATCTCTAACGCCATCCTCATCCAAGTCTGGTAGCACCACCGCAGGGGCAGCCAAGGTGCCGTTGGTTAGGGAGCTTGGGCTGAGCGTCCAGATGGCTTTCCCTAGGCCAGGACAGAGAGGAGGATCATAGTATGGCCTTTTCTCTCTTTGGGGGGTGGGAGTGGAGGTGGGAGTAATGGTGGGGGGTTAAGAGCAGTGTTCTTGGGGGGAACTACCGCTCGGGCCCCCCTCCTGTCCCTCTCTTGGACAGGAGCTTTCTTTCTCTCAATAAATATATACTGCTCATTAAAAAAAAAGAGCAGAGTTCTTTTGAAACAAGATCTTGTTAAGTGCCTGGGCTAGTCTTGAACTCCTGGGCTCAAGTGATTCTCCTGCCTCAGCCCCCTGAGACGCTGGGATTATACACATAAACCACTGTAGCCGACTTTTTCTCAGGTGGTAACCAGCACACAGGCAGGCTACTTGTGATTCTGTAAGGAGGCTTCATTATATTTGATTGTTTTTCATCCTGTTATCATGTCCACATGCGGTATGAAGCTGAAAGGCCAACCCAATGTGCCTCAACAAGCCTTGTTTCTTCCTGGAAATATTTTTAAGTAGTTAACGTCTAAATTCATGCTGCTTGGGCCCCACATATATCAAATCAGGAGGGACAAAGCTCATCTGTCTTTTCTCCAGAGTAGAGAGAAAATTTACAACCAAAGGCCTCAGGCTAGTTTCTGAGTTTAGCCCCATCTGAACACCAAGCAGGTTGAAACATGGATCTATTTACTCAATCTGCCCAAACTTCTTATCTTAGTCCCTTAATAACCACTTTCCAGAGTAGCTAGTCAGACTTTCCACCCTGCCACAGGAGAAAACTCCCCTCCCCACCAGCCTATTAGAATCCCAAATTACGACTCATTACAGCAAAGATCTTTTGTGGCAAATGATCTCCACCTGATGTTGCATTGAATGCGCTGAGCATCTTGTGCGTCCCGGTCACAAGACAGATGATTTCAGCCACGTTGCCTGGCGCCAGCTCCAAACATGTGACATCTTGGGCCTCTTCTGGGAGGGGACTGGACCACAACATGCTGCCATTCATCCCCGAGAGGCACACAAGATCAGCAGCTGGTCTCAGGCCACCTAAGAGCAACAGAGATAAGAAAGAGAAGGGGGCACAGGAGGGAGGAGGCGTGGCCGGGCAGGAGGCTGGGGGAGGCCGTGGCTCACACAGGCATGTTCAGCTCCCTGTGTATCACGGCAGGGAGGCCTGAACACAGAGCACCCGCTGCCTCTGCTCACAGCATCCCGTGCCCTGTGGCTGCCTCACCGTACCTCTGCTTCTACACCTTTCCCAGCACACGGTTCACCTGCCTGACACCTCAGCCCCCCAAATGCCCCACTCAGTCCTGTATCCTCAGTGTCCTGTGAAGTGCCTGGCATACGTAGTACCCAATTGTCTGCTGAATAAAACACAGGAGCAAATCCAGCCCATGGAAAATAGGGGCTGGGAACAAACAGCCAGGAGGGAAAAGTATGCTCAGAAACACCAACCTGATGTCGAGCATGTGCAGAACATGGAGTAAAATATCTGAATCAAATCACCCACAGAAAAAGCTTCCTAAGAGGAGAAAGAGAGTGTTTTTGAAAATAAACTTGAAAATCACAGGTAGAGAGCAGGAGGTGTTGCTGGCCTGCAACTCCACAGAATCAGCTGCTTTGGTCCCAACGTGGGAAAGATTCCCCAGGAAGACTTCATACGTAGGGCTCAGGAGAACCGGTAAGGAACAAGAGTGGCTCACCTCTATAGTAAACAAGGCTTTCTGCGACATAATTAACCCATGCAGAATAATAACACTCTTGCTTGGCTTCCTTTCGCTTTCAGGGCACCTTGACTCATCTCGCGCACTTTCTTCTCCCAGAAACTACTAAGTCAGGGAAGCCAACAGAATCTTAGAGCTTTGTTCTACCTAATCTTCTCTCTGACTAACTCACTGTGACCCAAAACTAAGTGGCAAGCTGTGGTTCACCATTTCAGACCTCACTGCCAGAAGAGGCTACGAATGACAGACAGCGGTACCAAAACTGGCTTCTAGATGTCTTGGCTGTGATTAGTCCCATGCCACCCTTCCAACTCCAGGCCCTTCCTGATGCCCTAAGCACCTCTGATTCATTTTTCCAGGGCAGCAAAGACTCATGTTTTCCCATAAGCCCTCAGTTCTTCGAGTCAGTACTGGTGAGGTCCTTCTACAAACAGCATAGCCTTGGACACAAGCACAGCACCTGCCATAGTCAGCGATTGATTCATGGCTGCTGAATGGATGAACAGACCCATGAATGACTCCATTAGATACCCAGTGCCAGTGCACCCAGTGGCACAGCACTTCGTGGGGCATGGGCACAGTCGCTTGGCCTGAGGGTAAGGGCCTGACTCCTGGATCTGAGTCCCAGCTATACCACTCACCAGCTGAGGGGCTCTTCAGAAAAGTTTCTTAGCCTCAGTACATGTCAATTCCCTCATGTGCAAAAAGGGGAAATAAGATCAACCTGCCGCACAGAACTGTGCTGAGGAGTAAAATCGTTCACGTGTGTTACACACTCCCAACAGCGCACGGCACATAGAAAGCGCAGAACACTGGCCCATACTCTTATTTTAACAATCTGTGGGCAGATCAGGCTGGACCATCTGGTGTCCAAACCCACAGATTGCATCTCCATAGGTAGCAAATCATGCAAAATAACATCTGACTCAAACACCCCTGAATCTAAATGTGGGTGCGGAAAACTCTTACTTCCACAATTAATGAGCCACAGGCAAGAAAAAAATGTAGTCAAGGCCCAACTGTATGAAAAGAATAGGCTACCGGTGTTCCGTGTTATTATTCTCTGCCCAAATTGCTTCTGAGTATCACTTAAACCCCAGAAAGGTATTTCTAATTGTGCCAAAGGTGTACACTGTGTAGAGAGCTCTAAAACATACCCCATGTTTATCCCAAGGCCTAAATGATTAACAAGCAGCTCCCAGGGATTTCTTGGCCTCCAGCTACAGCTGTGCTGTCAGCTGGCAGAATGCAATGAATGCCACTTGAACAGAGGCTGCAGGACAAACCCTAGCCCTTGTGTCCCTAGGCTAACACAGAACAGGCTTTTGCTTATTTGTTTCTACAGCTGACAAATGTAACACCCAGGGCCTCAGAAGCAGCCTGCCAGCATTAGTGGGGGAAGATTTCATGAGGCTACAAAGACACGATCAGGGTGGAGAGGCCTAGACATATAAGCCAGCCTCTGAGAGCAGCAGGCATGACGCCCAGGAGCATCACCCTAAAGGGAGGAAGGGGGAGCCTAGGCAGGCCGCATGAGGGCTGAGACATGTAGAAGGGGTGCTCTACACACACAGCGAAAGTTTACATTTTTAAATTTTAGTAAAAGACACTGCCGGATCCTGAATTGACCCAGAGCACAGGCCCAGCGAGTGACTGAGGCGACCTGGGCCGCCGGATCTGGAATAGACCCACAGCGCAGCCCGGCATGTGAGACCACCTGAGGCCCACTGGATCCTCATTCAACACAGAGTACAGGCACAGCACAGAACCCTTCAGCAGATCTCCCTGAAAAGAGGCTAGAGGCAAGACCCACCCAGCTGATTCAGGAGCAGAACATCTTGCCAGAGTGACACAAAGGGTTCAACTCTAATGGCTGCAGCAGAAAGAAGTGGAGCACAGCAGCCAGATCCAAGCAACGCCCACCTGGAGAAATCCGAACTTCATAGATCCGGACCTGGTGCTAAG